CGCGCTCTGGCTGTCCTGTCCTGAACTCTAGAGTTACAGTTAGAGCTGTCCTATGTGATATCGGGAGTTCAGCAACTGGACCCCAGAAGTGGGGGGACCAGCCCCTGTGTGCTGGGTTTCCCTCCCTGGACCCCAGAAGTGGGGGGATCAGTCCCTGTGTGCTGGGTTTCCCCCCCTGGACCCCAGAAGTGGGGGGACCAGCCCCTGTGTGCTGGGTTTCCCTGCCTGGACCCCAGAAGTGGGGGGACCAGCCCCTGTGTGCTGGGTTTCCCTGCCTGGACCCCCGCAGCGGGCTGCGCTGACCAGCTCACCTGATCCTGCGCACGCAGCGGTCCAGGTCGCTGGTGACCTCCATCAGCCAGCCCTGCTCGTGCCGCTTCTTCAGGGCGGCTTCATCCACCTGCAACAACAGCACAGGCGTGTCCCACAGCAGGCCGGACAGGCGGACCGCAGGCGACGCTGGGGGTACTTCCTCCCGGGGGCGCTCTTACCTCGGCGATGACGCCCACACAGCCCGCGATCACGGCCGCCTTGGCCTGCGCCCCGCTCATGCCCCCCAGGCCCGCGGTGACGAACACACGGCCACCCAGCTCGCCCGAGCCCAGGTACCGCCGGCCGGCGTTCAGCACCGTCAGCTGCGACACACAGGGCAGCAGGTCAGAGAGTCACGCAACATGGCCACCCGCGAATCCCATAGTGCCTTTCACCCTGCTGGCGCTCAGAGAGGGGTCAGCTGCTGCTGCCCAGGCAGGACGACCTAGAGGAGCTCCCAAACCTTCAGAGACTTTATCCCGAGCTTCCCTAAGCTCTGGACAGAGGGAGACAGTGGGAGAGACAGTGGGAGAGAGAGTGAGACAGTGGGAGAGACAGGGAGAGAGTGGGAGAGACAGTGGGAGAGACAGGGACACAGTGGGAGAGACAGGGACACAGTGGGAGAGAGAGGGAGACAGTGAGAGAGACAGTGGGAGAGAGAGGGAGACAGTGGGAGAGAGAGGGAGACAGTGGGAGAGAGAGGGAGACAGTGGGAGAGACAGGGACACAGTGGGAGAGAGAGGTAATGGAAGAAAGATCACCTCTGGGAAAACCTTTTAAAGTTTCAACACAATTGTATTTGCTCAAAACAGTAAATAAACATTCCGGAGCAGTCAGTGAGGCGCAGGAGAAGGCCGGGGCCCTGTTATCAGGAGGTTCCAGGTTCAAGCCCCAGCTCTGCCACTGACAGACTGCCAATCAAATCACTTTTCAAGTTCTCAACAGGCCCGTGCTGCTCTGGCCTAGTCACCGCCGAGCCAGGCGGCCGTTTCTCTCTGGACCCCACTGACCCGCGGGTAGAGAGCCGCCGGAGGGTCCTACCAGGGTGCCGTGGACAATGCCTTGAGGGCCAATGTAGCAGTAACTCCCTGCTGTCATCTGCCCGTACCTGCAGGACACACAGGGCAGGACACTGTAAAACTAGGACACAGTATTCATTCCATTAAAGGACCGGACAGGTCACCGCCCAGGGGCTCCCAGAGCGCTTCACACACAGCAGGGAACCCATCCACCCCCACCTGGGGGACACACAGCAGCACACCTGCACACAGGTCAGGGGCAGGAGAGGGGAACAGCTGCACCAGGTGGACTTTGAGAAAGTCAGAGTCTTCGAGCCCAGAACAGGATTCAGCCACACCACTGGGGTTAACACCCCTGCTGCTACAAACAGGATCTTTAATGACCCCAAGTGAACAGGACCTTGACTGAACATCACATCTGACAGACAACACCTCCCACAGTACAGTGTGCCATACTGGCACATTGTCATAACAACTAAAGGCACTATCAACTCTACCACAGCACTATGTCTCCTAATAACATAATGACTCCTTAAAACACTTTAACAGCGTGGTGACTACTAACATCACTGTATGAACATTTTAAAAGCATGGTGATTCCTTACACTGCTGTAATAACGTTTTAACAGCATTCTGACTCCTTATATCACTGTAACAACACTCCAGCAGCTCTGTGGCAGTGTTCAGCTCACAAAGACACATGTTGTCGAATCTGTGAAATGATGTTATCAGAGCTTCAAACTGCTAGTGAGGATGAGGACCAACACTAAATGAATTCAGCTGGCATGGATAACTTAATTCTCTTACATTGTTACCCCCAGAGCAAACATCTTGTCATATTCCTCCCGAGAGGAGTAGTTCGGGATGACCTGAGAGAGAGGTGAGGAAGACCGAGAGTGAGAGACGTGTCACACACAGTATAGACAGTGAGACAGGATAGTCAGAGAGTCTATAGGCAGTGAGACACTATACACAGAGACTACAGTGAGAATACAGACAGACTAAAGAGACAATATAGACATAAACTAGAGAGGGATTACAGACAGAGAATACAGACAGAGACTACAGTGAGAATACAGAGACTACAGTGAGAATACAGAGACTACAG